ACAGCTGCCTCTGAGAAAGAAGAACTTTTTAGGAACATTAGAATCAAGGGCAACCTTGTGTGCCCAGAAGGGCCCTGGGTACAAACCCAGCTCTCACACTACACCAAGCAGTGATGCTCTTCCTGCCCTGCAGACATGGAGGCAGCTGGGACGCATCCCAGGAGGGCAAGGGAATGCCTTCAGTAGGCAAATTTCCTGGGACGGACTCTCCCTACCCCTGGCGAGTCACACTCTAATTTTAGAGTGGCCTTGCGTCAGCTTTTTGGTGTTGGCCAAGACAGGAGTGTGTGCTGTCTGCAGGCTTGTGTCTCAGTCAGGGTTGAATTCCCCTCCAGCAAGGGCAGTTCCATCTCTGCACGGAGAAAACCATTTTCCAGCACTGGGCTGTTACCAAGTACACAGCTCCAGGCAGCCCTACAGACTTTGCCTTCAGCCTGACCTTATTTCAGCAAAAGAGGGTGGACATGAATGTCCTCATTTTTCCCTGGTCCCACATTCCATTTCTCCAGAGACCCCTCTGGCACATTTTCCTCTACTGATGTGTCCCTGCCCAGGCCTTGGGCCTTTCATCTCAATACTTGAAAGCATCTTCAGAGGCCTAATGGTCATGGCAGAAATGAGGAAATGAAACAGCAATGCTGATGGAAACAAAAGCACAACCTGGGCCATTACGTAGGATGTTTTCCTTTGGAGATGAGTGTTTTAAAATTACTGCCCTGTGCAGTGACTGTGGGCCTGGGGCAGTGCCGGAGCAGTATAAAAGTGGGCCCTTCTCCTCACTCTCTCATCCACTCTTCTCGCCTCCATCTCCTTAGGAACAAGGTGGGTCTGGTGACTTTTCTCCTCTCCTGCCTCTTCCTCTTCCTCTTTTTGTTTTCCAGTGCATACCCTTTTGTCCTATGCTGCATTATGGGACTGTTCTCCAAGGGAGGTGACACGAGAGGTCACATGGAGGGAGGCTGGGGCTTGGCTGAAGTGAGTGATGGTCTAGGCAGGAACTCTCTGGGATTGGTTGCTCTTGATGGCGA